AGTGGAGATAAAACAATCATACAAAGTGTGTTTCCGGTGTTAACTTCTTCCTTAAGTTTATTGCAGGAAAACCTAAGCATAGAAAAACACACTCGCCCTCTTGGAGTTGACAAGCTATTAAATATTAGTGCTCATCTGCCTAGTCTTCACATGACTCGATCAATTGCAGGCAGTAATGATGTATCACATCAGGATCAACCAAGTTTGCTCAATGATCACACTTCATGCATGTCAACTCTAGTCATGCAAGTATTACCAATATCGCCAGTAATGTATCCAAACACACTGGCAATCTTTTCCAGCTATCACACTGTGAGCTCACCAGACCCACAAACACTATACCCCAAAGAAATAGTGGACCCTATAGAAGATACCACTGTGAGCTCACCAGACCCACAAACACTATACCCCAAAGAAATAGTGGACCCTATAGAAGATACCACTGTGAGCTCACCAGACCCACAAACACTATACCCCAAAGAAATGGTGGACCCTATAGAAGATACCACTGTGAGCTCACCAGACCCACAAACACTATACCCCAAAGAAATAGTGGACCCTATAGAAGAAACCACTGTGAGCTCACCAGACCCACAAATGCTATACCCCAAAGAAATAGTGGACCCTATAGAAGATACCACTGTGAGTGCACCAGACCCACAAACACTATACCCCAAAGAAATGGTGGACCCAGACCACTGTGAGTGCACCAGACCCACAAACACTATACCCCAAAGAAATAGTGGACCCTATAGAAGATACCACTGTGAGTGCACCAGACCCACAAACACTATACCCCAAAGAAATAGTGGACCCTATAGAAGATACCACTGTGAGTGCACCAGACCCACAAACGCTATACCCCAAAGAAATAGTGGACCCTATAGAAGATACCACTGTGAGTGCACCAGACCCACAAACACTATACCCCAAAGAAATAGTGGACCCTATAGAAGAAACCACTCCAATAACAAGCTCGAGAATTGAAGAACCAACTTTGTTTCCTCTCTTGGTACCAGATATTGACCCTAAAATTTCAGTTGTGAATGCCACTAGTGTCTTGGTATATGAAGTGAAAGATCCTAAATCCAAAATAGGTGAGCTCAGGACAGATCATGCAAGTTTTGTAGGCTCTGGCAGGATAGATGGTGTAACTACCACTAAGTTTTCTCAACAGGAAGTGGAGAACCTGCATTCTGAACTTGCAATAGAAAGTGTTCTTATATTTTCCAAGTATAACTCTGAAATTTCAAGTGACTTCAGACAGCCTGTTGTTTGCTTACATGAGCCATGCAGCAGTGTCTCATTTTTGGATGATGACAGGTATGCTACTGGCACCAAATCTACTCGGGAGACATTCTCAGTTGTAGACAATTACTTGACTCCATTTTACCTCTCGTCTGTACAGCATTTCTCGCCTAGTCCTTCAATACCTCCTCTGGGCCACTACAATAATCTTCAATCTGTTTTCATTGACATCACTTCAAGCTTTGAGGAAATTTATAAATCGGTACCGGAGTCGGACATCTTGACGACTACACCAACGACCAAAGAGGTTCAGGTAACTTCAGTAACAGAGACTACAATACCTGGTTATTGGTTATGGTTCTGGGGCTAAATGATACCTGTACTACCATAACCTGTATATATATGTTGGTTCATTTTCCTGTGAAAATTTACTAAATCACAGTTAAAATGAGGTACAGGATTATCAATTCATGCCCCATTATTTTAAATACATTTTTGAGATTACTGTACTTGTCAATACTGTAAATGCTTTTAGTTTTAGATTAGTTAAGTTTCTAGCAGATAAATTCAGCAATTTTTCTACTGAAGAGACTACCTATGGTATATTGTTTTTAGATAATTTTATTTGAAATTATTTTATCCTGTGTGAATAAGATGTACAGTGGGGTATGCTATAACGAACGTAATTGGTTCCAGAACCTCGTTCGTTATAGCATTCGTTCGTTATAGGATTAATCCGTTCCAGGCCCCCAAATACAACCACTTAACACTGAAAAAATTCTGTGGAAAATGTAAAAAATACGGTACTTTATCTTACCTTAGTGTTATTCAGCATGCAGGTACCCCTAAACACTGGCACATCACTATCACTTCCACTGGGAGTCTTGGCTTTAAGGTCCTCAAACAATTGTTTAGCCTTCTCACAAATTATAGCTTCACTAATGTTACCACCTGCCATTTCTTTCTCCTTTATCCACACTAAGAGTAAATTTTCCATCTCTTCAATCACATTACACTTTGCTTTGCTAAGTCTAAAGATTCCCTTAGCCACTTGCACAGTTTTTAACTCCTCTTTATTCTTCAAAATCGTACATATAGTCGATTTAGCCATCCCATATTCATCACTAAGTTTCGCAATGCTTCTTCCATTCTCACGTTTCTTTACAATTTCTTTCTTAGTTTCAAGGGTTATTAGCTTTCTCACTCGCTTTGGACGACTCATTGTTACAATTGTATACTTGTATAACAAAATAGTTATACAAATAACGCGAATTTCCACATCAAAAGACGAAATTTCAACAATAACAGTGGTGCACTGGCTACACAATGAGACAAAGATGGCGCCTGACGCTCTTGTTGTGGGTCGCGGTACAACAATATTCATGCGCCAGGCGAAATAGTCCCGTATTCATCCGCGTTCGTTGTAGGAGTTGCGTTCGTTATAGCATTCTCAATTTTATAGGTAAAACCGTTCGTTATAGGAATATTCGTAGTAGGATCCGTTCGTTATAGCATACCCCACTGTAGTAGAATTTTTACTATCCTGCAATGTCATTTTTAATACACAAGTGATTACAGTATAGTACTCTGGTTTTTGTTCTTCTCAAGTTGGCTTCCATACAAGGGAAGGTTATGCAGAATTTTAACTTCCCAATACTCTGTACTGTATTCTTGTAGTGGCTTGAGTAATAACAATAATGATTAGTTGGCTGCTGGTACAGTACATGGGCAAAAACTAAATGTAATTTTTCTAATGAATGTACCGTTTTCTTTTTGTCAAATGTTCAGTGAATTGTATCGACATTTTCCAAATGTTTATCCACAGGTGTATACCACTGCAGAAAGAACTAGCACGATTCAGTCACAGCACAAAACTCTCTCCTTGTCTGCACTTGACACGCATTACTGTACACTTTTTATCAATAAATAAATTTACTTACAAAATTGTATTTTCATAACTTAAAAAAATATACCTGTGTACAGTATATATTTTTTTTGCTCTGGTGACACCTTGGCATTATTTAGTTTTTGTTTTCATCCATATTTTTCATCTCTTCAGTAACCTGTATGAAATAAATTTCTAAAAAAAAATTTTGTGGTGGATCTTGGTTACCATGCACATAGGATAGAAACAAGGTACAATAATGATCTTTGGATGCACAAAAGCTGGCAAGTAACCTAGGGTCTGTTATTATTCAAAGGCTATTAAAGTACAGTACTATACTTGCTGTATTGTCATTCCCTCTTTGACATGATGTCCTTGCCTATTCTAGGTAAACCCCTATGTTATTACAGTACTGTAAATTTTAACACTGCCCATACATATTGTTACTCACGGGAAGGCACATCTTGTGATTATTTAAATGAACAGGAGACAATGACTGCAAAAAATTGGTGGTTAAATACCAGGAACAGACCCTTGGTTGACACTCAGGATGCTCTTTAGCCTACATCTATGATTACCATTCATTACTAACCTTCATGACTGAAAGCAACAGTAATTAAACCACTCATGGATGTTTTATTGGCTATAAACCTTCCCCATACCTGTAATGGTTTATAACTAAATTAGCAAAAATCTTTATATAGGGGCATCTTAACAGACTGGTTTCAAGTACCGTGAGTGTCTGTTCAGATACAGATCGTGAGGCATTATTTGTTTACAGAGCCAACCATTTTTGTCAAAATTAGCAAAGATGGTTTGTACAAAATTTGCCATTTCATAGTTTTAAAACTGCTCAAGAATATCTGACAGAGTTTGGACATTTTGTGGTCCAATTATAAATTCAAATCTGTACATACTGTATTCAAATTGGCCCACCCATCCTACCCCTGTAGTGAGCCCTGACTGCCCTCCTATAGCTAATATACCAACTGTACTGTAATTTATTTTGTTTAGCAACTGCCACGGTAGTTACGTAGGTTTTTTGTCGCTTGTGAACCATTTCATATTCTTTTTGGGTATAATATTGGAGTTTCATTGTTGTTGGGTAACAACCATATTTTTCTCATTTGTTCTCTTATTTGCTAACCAAATGGTTTTCAAGGAGCCTAACACATTTTGATAATGAATACCTGTACAGGAAACTATACACCAAGTATCAAGCATTAGTTCTCCCCTTCTTTACATCTACCAATTACTGTATTCATTCATTTCACAATCGTTCTCTGAAGAACACCTCTACATGGAACACTACTCTGCAGAACACTGCTCTGGAGAACACTGCTCTGGAGAACCCTTCTGCAGGGAATAATACTCCGGAGAACACTTCTACGTTACATTGCTCTGGAGAACACTTCTACATGCAACACTACTCTGGATAACACTTCTACATGGAACACTACTCTGGAGAACACTTCGAACACTGCTCTAGAAGGGGACATGGTTCGAGGGGTTAATGTTCAACTCCTCTTGTTTCTGTAAACTTCAAGTATTCAACAACCTCTTGCCATTTCATCACATAGCTACATCATGTATCCTATGTCATCTTCCATGAGTGAAGGTGATCATGTAGTAGTGGAGTAACCTCACAAAACCAATATTGTAAAAATACCATGAACAAGACTACTTGACTCACTTTAGAGCATATCTTTGACCTAACAATCCTGAGGTAGCTTTGAACAGTACAATACAGCAGTTCTCTTGTGGTACTTCAACATCAACTATCACAGATATATCCGTCTTGGTTTCATTTTATTCAGCTGTTATCTTTGACAATCGAATATATCGGTAAGACAAGTGAAAAGGAGAATTATTTTTTTTAATTTTATTGTACAGTATTGCAATTTTTGATAACTTGGTACAATTTTACGAGGTAGTTACTATGGGGGGCAAGTTATGTAATACTATAACAGGAGACTAATCATGACATAAATGTAAACCTTTAATCCTGATTAAAATTTATTATGAGGGAAATACATATGTCCAGGGGGTTCTCATTATACATTGTACCAATATACATATACAGTACTGTAGGTCATTAACAGATGAAGAAATTTAAGAAATGTTCATTGTATTGTACATCATCTGTTTCGCATATATTTCAACTGCATCGTCCACTGTTTTAAACTTAAGTCCGTGTATATCTGAATGTGATGCACAAATAGTGTTAACATCTAAAATAATGTAAAAATAATTAGTAATAAAAGTGCCCATTAAGTGTTCAAGTCTATGATGCTAAAATACATCAGTTACCTCCAACACAACTGCACACTAACACCATTGCTATATGTAAATAACCACACAATTTTGAGAAAATTCATAATGTGCAAGTATTCCTCATGAACAAAGAAAATACTGTATATTAAGACAGTGGAGGAAAATTGTGTGTGGGAGGTGGAGTGTCACCAAACCACCTGCGACTGACTTGCTGGACTACTGTATACCTCACCACAGATGTTTAATTCACAGGAGTGTTCCCACACCAAAAAATTGAAATTAAAAAAAAGAATTATTCAATTATTATACAATGGAGGGTTTGTATGTAAAGAAATGGAGCGAAAAAAATATACAAAACTACACCTGGGCAAGTAGCTGAGGAGAGGAGGTGATGGAGGGTTGCTGGCTGTACTGAAGGGACAACTCTTGCCCCAAGATCCCTTTATAATAATATTTTTTTTTATCTACATATGCCTTGGTTTATACACTAATCAGTTGTTTAAGTGCCCAAGTCACAAAATCATGCCATCATGTATCATTCAAAGGTAATAATTAATGTTGTTAGGAATGTATCTCCATACCCAAATACTTGTACAGTAGCTAAAACAACTATCTGTGCAGGTGGGGGTCGATATGCTCCAAAATTTTACGTATGACTAGTGACAGCCCTCGTATACCAAAATTTATCATCCATGGTCTCATATTGTTTCCCACAAAGCATGCACAGATAGTGTTTTAGCTACTGTACATGCACTAAGTTATAGTGATTCCATGTTAAATTAATTTGCTGAAAGTTCTCTCTCTTTCTAGGCAAAAATCCTGAACTTTCAAGGGGTATTACTGTACACAATGGAATGCATATACAGTACCTGTAATTACATTAATTCTTATGGGGAAAACTCATTATAAAAAGATTCACTGTATGTCACGTTTCTCTGGAACACATCCTAACGTATAATGGAGACCCCCCCATACCAGTACTCTTATCACTTACAAACCAGATTCATGTAAATTTTCCTCCACATTTCATGCAATTGGCAGCTAAAACTGTGATGGCAATAGAATGTCTTCATATTCACCAAGTTTTTGAGAAGTAGGATTTTTCAAATTCAGTAGCTTGTGAGGATCAAGGGTTCCCCAGTCATCCTGAAATAAAAGATATTTGACATGTCAAAACATTGGCCTCTACATTAGTTATTCTACAAATTCTGGCACAGTTCTAAAATTACACCCTCAACAGTCCAAAACTGACAATGAACAGGGTGGCAAACAATGGTCCCACCCCCTCGCCTGCACAGATGAAACCAGACAATTTAATTCTATGTCTAAACCGCTCAATAGTTGTTGTCTCCTTGTACTTATCGGATACCTTCAAGTTGGCAAGGGTAGGAGGGAAGACTCAAAAAGGTCAGTGTCAAGTTTTTTTTTTTTATTTATATGAGCAGGAAACCAAATTTCCAAAATGGCAGGGTATGGTTGAAGACATTTGATGGAGTTCCCTATGAAAAGTACTACCAGGAGTTACTCAAATCTGACTGTGGTTGTTTTATCCTTTTAACTGCCCACCACATGATATGGGTGTTGAAGCTGTATGGCCAAAGCTGGGATGGAACATATTTCTGCCAAGAGATCCTCACCCAACAAATCATTCAGTTCCTGCACACTAAAGTCCCCTGCATAAAGGCTCTTCAAACCCAACGTGAATTTCTTTGGGAAAAATGAATGCTCGGGTAATTCACTAGACTTGAGTGTGTGGAACTGAGTGGAAACACTGATGCTTGTTGAACCCTCAGCTACCTGATTCTGCCACCTGACCAAGGAGCAGCACGTCAGAAAAAATACTCTGAAAATCTCAAGTACGACACCGACCTTTTCGAGTCTCTCGACTCAAACCCTTACTAACTTAAGCCATCTCCCAAGTACGAGGAGACAACACCAACTACTGAAAGGTTTTGTTTAGACTTAGAATTAAATTGTCTGAAAGATTCCATATTCATTTTTTTTTCATCTGTCCATTTCATCAGTGCAGGTGGGAGGGGGCAAGTATTGTACCAAACCCAAACCTGGAGAATGCCTAGAGCAGTATGCAGTAACTTGACAAACTCTCAGTTTTCCAAATTGTCATTCATATTTTCTACATGTCCATCTCATCTTACTTATTACCTTTTCCACACAAAATCTTCATCTCAAATTTTCTTCCTTATTAGTTCTCAATACTCTTAATCCAGTCTTTTTATTATATACTAAATGTTATAACACCACAGCCAAACAAAAGTGTTATATCAACAATTTGCTCACATAGGCCACTTACCATGCATGGGAAGCTCCAACTCTTTATCCTAACATTACCAATTCTCAATTTTGGCAGTAATCATATCTATTGACTTCCTCAACAACTGACAATTAATTCAGCAAAAAGTAAGCCCACATATGTTTCTGCTTGGTGCTCTTAGGAATTGACAAACCCTGCTCAATCTAAACAAACAAACAAAAATTCTACAGCAGAAAGAAGGCACTAAATGTGGTGAGACAAGAGTTTTTACTCACTGGACTCTCACGGTCCTTTATCCACTTTTGTGTAGGACGGTCAGCTTTAGAGATCTGTGATGCTGAAGATGAAGGAGGTGAATCTACTTGTTCCTCCAGCATACTTTCCTCATCTTCATTTGACATTTCCTGTGTCTGTTCAATGCTTTCATACCGAACTGTCTGTAGTCTATAAAACCCATCATCATCTTGCTTGTACCTGTTCAAAGAAAGTTCAGTCAAAATAATCTTATTTCATAAACAAGCCCATAGTATGCATTCACCATACTTTTGGATCAAACCCAAGAAACCCTTGACAGTCATGGCTTGGTACTATCATCAGGAGCAGTTCATTCTATCTTTTTGCAAACACTACCCTTAAGAAATAGAACATAAATTGAAGCATGTTACCATTGATTATGGAGGATTATGCCTAGGTCCAAAAAGGCAGGTCCAAACAATTGCCAAACACAGTATATGCACAGCTACAGTAATGCGAGGGCCAATGGTTGCAATTGGAATAGACGAACTAATTGTAATTACAGTTCCCAGCTTCCCATGTGAAGTCTCCTGGGTTCAATCTAAAAGCATGTTGTATGTATTACAAAATTCATTTGACAACCTTAACATTATAAATGTAGTTTTCAAGAAATGCTACATTAACTGACAGTGCTGTATACATTTCTTAATCAAGCAGTATAAGACAGTGAGATATTACCAAACACAAAAGGCCCATTCATAATATGACCTTAGAATGAAATTCTGTTGGAGGAAACTACATTTTTCATCAGTATATCGACTTTTTTCATTTGATATATTTATCTCTTAACTCTCTCCCGCACGAGATAAGTTTTAAGTTTTCCAGTTCCAAGATCACATCTCTAAGGCCCCCAGGGTAGGCAAGACAGTGCATGGTGAATATTTTATTTTTATTTTTTTGCTTTATCAATTTCCCCTCCCAAACTTGCTTTTATTGGCATAAACCATATATCTTTGGTTTCATAACTGACTGCTCTGCAACAGAAGTCCCCCCCCCAAAAAACGAATAATACAAGTACTGGTATAAAACTATTTTTTTTACTTCTAATAAACATGAGAAAAAATGTACACACCAATAAGTTCACAGCCTCCAAGCTCAAAATTGTCTGAGCCAACTGTTTAAGTACTGTACTATAATCTGCTAGAAGTGGAATTTTATGAGCTTTCCAAGCCAGTACTCATATTTCTGATATGACCAAAAGTTTTTTAGAAAATAGCAAAAAAAAAACGATTCTCAAATGGTAAAATCGTTTTTTTATCTGTTTGATTATTTTAATGCCTATGTTTTATATCAATATAAATTATATTGCATCTTGCAACCAACACTATAATGGAGAGAATGGTACTGATAAAATTCATGTAAGACTAGAAAATCATCCTCTTTTAGAGACTTTTTTCGAGACACTGTCACTATAACGAGGTTGTATGGCCGAATACGTTATTGGCTTTTGAAAACTAAACACTTTTCCTGTAAATACGAAAATAATGTTACATTACACAAACATCACTTTACTTCTCTAACACTAAAAATATATTTTTTCAGGGAGTAGGATAAGCACTGTAATCCAGGAGTTAAGGCAGCCCACACAGAGATAATAGTGCATGTTTATAATTCCGGTCTTCCCTTCCTACAGACCCCGAAGTTGCCAATTAGTTTATTTGATATAAATTACTTGCTACTTTGACACATCAAAATTTGACGCAATTCTGTTAAAACTTAATTTTGGGCGAACTTTTTAAAGTTTTGTGACATACAGTACAGTACTGTATTAAATACCACATTACCGCCACTAAACATTCACATCATATCTATTAAACATCCACATCATCTCCACTACACATTCACTTCCTTTCACATTATACAGGTGCTCCTCTACTTACGAGCGAGTTACGTTCCTGAGGCTTGTTTGCAAGTCCAATTGTTTGTAAGTCGAACTTTACTCTTGTAGACACCAAACATATTGTAAAAAATGAAAAGATTATGGATATTTAGTACAGCTATACCCTTTAATGCAGCCTTAAAACCTGGCTCACTCTTCTCCTCTTAGGTAATGTTTGTTCTACCTGGAATTTTCTACAAAATAATCCAGTCTCATCCACATTAAACACCTATTCTGGCAGGTAACCCCCCCCCTCAGTGATGATGTTTGTATCTCTGAAAGATTTTAAGTTGAACGTTCTTAAGTAGAGGAGCCCCTTTACTGTAAAACCCAAAAATTTTAGTTGAAAAATACTGTAACCATAACATTACTCGCACCTCAGCCTGGTAGGGAGGGCGTTAAGGGAATGTGACTGCACCAGTTGACTCCCAGGGTGTGATTTGAATTTTTGCCTGGACCCAAATTTGCATACAGGTATCCCTCAGTATAAAAACTTAAATACTTAAATTTGTACAGGTAGTAAATTTCCTAAATTAACACCTCTTTTTCAGGTTACAAAACACCACCACCAGGCAAAGGTAATGAGTTATGTTATGGTTGTTTTTTTATTATTATTATTATTACAGTATTATTATTATTATTATTATTATTATTATTATTATTATTATTATTATTATTATTATTATTATTATTATTATATTCGCCACTTATCAGCTTACTCGCCATTTGGGCGGTCTAACCAGTGTTAGTACAGGAGGAAACCAGGGACCGGGCAACCTGTGGTGTTTGGTAGTGAGGGTCACTGGATAACACCCTTCTCATGTGTGTCCCGGCCGAGGCTCGAACCCTTGACGTATTGGTGTGAGTTATGCGCGTTTTTTTTTCTTCATTCAGTTACCTGGTACATGCACACATACAGAATGTGCCAAAATAATAATAATAATAATAATAATTATAAGAGGTGGTAATTTAAGAAATTCATATAAGCAAATTTTCCTATCTCAAATGTTCGTATCTCGAGGGATAACTGTACAGTATATTGAAAGGAAATAAACAGACATTTACATACACTTTCCATCTTCTTAACCATATTCAAAGTGACTTGAAATTTACTGGAACATTCACTTTACCTGAACCGAGTGTGTCCTACTGGCTGGGAGTGAAAGCTGTGCTCTTTTATCAGGTGTCTGGTCAGCAAAATTCCAATATTGAACTTTGAGTTGCACATGTGACAAGCATAGTGGTCCTTTCTTAGTCCATTATGGGCCTGAAATATACTTTTTATTCAATGAAAAATTTCCAAGTCTTATCTGCATAACTTAAACATTCTAGAAAATTCTCCATAGTCAACTGTTAAAAGAATTAGGATGACTCATGGATAAGCAGACTGTATCTTGTGAAATAAATCAAGGATGAAAGTAAAGTAGTCTAACCTTATTCTCTTCTAATTGATACCAGAACTTTAATCACGTGATACATCAGTGGAAGAGCCAAACCAATGCCTTACAATTTTAATATGTACAGTACTATACTCCAATATTTGCTCCTGCATGTTGACAGTTTAAGAGAAATAACTGGACAATATCAATGATTCTGTCAACGTACCAAACAGCAATAATGAAAAAAAGATTTGTTCTTATCAATTTCCATAAATATTATTGACTAAACAACCATGAAGGAGAAGGTAACAGAGCAAATAAAAAAAATGCCATGACAATGTTGTTCCAGTGACTTGTAAAACTCTGTACGGCTCCTCTGTCCTGAATACCTCTGACAGTTTGATGTATTTAATGCAAAGATAAATCACAAATAATGAATAACAGTTTCTCACCGTTTTAATGTGTCGGTTCAAAGTAGAAGTTGCACGACATTTAAACTCACAGGTGTTATCAGGACAGGGATATGGAGGCTCCTCAGAATGGACAGACAGATGTCGGGATAAGTCCGTTATGCCTGTAAAACTAGAATAAGAAATAGTGATGAACAATGGTCCTAAGCTCGAGCTAATTATTGATAACACTCCGCAATTTATTATTAGTTCCACTTAGTTCTAAGGTAAAATAAGTAAATCCAGACAAGAATTTGAACATTCAACAAAAGTGATATAAAATCCTGGCTAATGTCCTTTCCAGTACTAAATTTATCAAACAGCTACTGCACTAAACTTGCTACGGGTCATACCCTCGACCACACTGCAGACACTTATGAGGTCGTTCTGTACTATGCCGGTATCGAACATGGACAGCCAAGGCTGACTTGTTTGGGCAGGTCATGTCACACTCATTACACTTAAAGTGGTTTATGTGGTGCCGCACGTGATCCCGCAACAATCTCTCATTTGCAAATTTTCTTGAGCAGTGAGAACACTGGTACTGCTGAGCTGAAAAAAAAAATACGAGGATTTACACAAGTTAGCAAGTTAGATTTTTTACAAATCACACAAAATAACTTTTGAGTTCCATTCCAAATCCCATAAATATATTGAAAACTCAATCACCATAATAATAAGCTGCCACTCAACTTACAATACAGAGGAATCTGCCGGGTACAATGGTCATAGAACTTGGTGTTGGAAGCATATATTCCACCACAGTTGGGGCATCCCACCACTTTTTCTTGGGTATGGCTGCGGCTATGATCTCTGAGCCGACTCTGTAGTATAAAAGTTGCTGCACAACCTGAAGGAAATAACAAACTTTACTTTACTTTACAGTTAAAATAAACCATTCCCCAGTCCTTCAATGTATTTTAATCTCCCATGACATTGTACAAAAATATCTCCTGAAAATATTATTTCATTCTATTTAAGGCATTCACATGATCATCAGCTATCTATCAAACTATTAATTAGGTTGGCATTTAACATTATAGGTACAAACTGAATAAAATATTCACCAAACCCCTTTAAATAAGAAATAGTTCCTGGAAAATAGTCTGCATTTCCTTAGCTACATTTGTATGAAGCTCAATGTTACCAACCAAAAATATATTACAGTATTCCCTTAAAGCTCGCTGGGGTTAGGTAAAATGGATTCCGGGAGAAAGCAAAATCCCCGAGTCTTTCATGCCAGTCCCAGGAGTGTGCAAACTACATACAGCTCCTCCCCGACTTACGACGGGGTTAGGGACCCAAATCCAGGTAGTAAGTCGAATTGGTCGTAAGTAAAAAATGCTTAAATAATACATAGAAAATCTAAAATGGGTGTCTCTTTTTCTTCTCAGCACCACAAAACTCTCACTTTTAAGCTTGCCAGCCATTTTAAAGTGAATTACAAACGAAAATTTTGTCAGTACACAGCGCAATCACTGACGTTGGGACTCGAAAATAAGTAATTTGACAACATTTTGGTACGACTGGGGCGGTCGTATGTCCGGGTGGTCGTAAGTCGAGTAGGTCGTAAGTCGGGGAGGACCAGTATATAAATAGCTATACACACATATATCACAACATTATGTATGCATAAGACAATATAATAAATATGAAATAACATAAATAAACATAAATATGAAATAACACTGTATGGATATTAGGTCCACACAGTGATAGTTAGTTGTGGTAGTGACAATGCAAAGACAACACAGGTACCTCTGAAACATCAGATGATCTGGTGTACTGGACAGTTACGTGTGAACATGCCCGGTACCGACAAGTATTTGTAAGGTGTATATACCGTAGGTACCTATACGTATAATTATATCCTTTTGTATTAAATCTGGTTAATTTTATTAATACCTGTAATACCAACAAATGTTTGATATTAGGTCCATAAAGTGATAGCAAGCTGTGGTAGTGAGAAACATGATAGCATATAGCCAGTGATTTGGCTTTGCCAGTACAGTAGGCTATTAAATCTGCAAAAATTATTTTTCCAAAATGTACCTTGCTAATTATAGGGTGCACCATATGACCTGGGCAATATGGTGCTCTGTACTGTCCTGTAGTGTTGACTTCTCTTGATCCCTGGCACACAGCCTCAGATTTATTTTATTTATTTTCCACGGCAATCCATGAGTTTCCGAGGGATGCAAGCTTTAAAACTGTGAGCTTTAAGGGAATACTGTACCTGAATGTGATACTCACCCTCCCAGGAACATAGAAACTCCTTTTTCGTTTCTCCAGTAGAGTCAACACATCTCACATGGCCATGAACATGCCAGTAAAAATCCTGTGCAGAGGCAAATCTAAGATCACAGTCTTCCCACATGCACTGAAACGCTTCTGGAATCTCTGGTATCATGTTGCGACCACTGTTGTCCAACATACACTGCAAAGTAAAAGCAATTTTCAATCACACATACCGCATTTTGATGAATATAGAAATCATTTAGTACATTATTTTGAGTATATGTACAGTACAGCTTTGCCCTTAGGACAGTGTAGCGTGCCCAGAGAAACATGAGGCGCGAATTTTAAAATATGATGCACCAGATTGACTCGCGCAAAATAGGAAAGATTCGCTTTAAATTAAAACATGTCCGTAATTGTGGGTGTCGCTTTAAATTAATACCGTAATCTTAAATTAAATCGCTTTAAATCGACGTTCTACTGTATTTAATAGTAAGTTTATTTACATCTCACCTATTGGTACACAAAAATCAACTGGAGACTAAACATTGACACCTTGAGTCTTTACCCAACAAACTACATATAGAGCACCACTTTCTAAAATAAACAGTTGCATCAATACATAACTCTTAAGTTTTCACATTCACATTAATATTTGACTGAGTACAACTAAGGCTAAGCCCTCCTTACCTGTTCCTGTCTCTCTTCCATTAAAACTTTTCCCATAGACTTGGTCTTGGTATGAAAGGCATGAAAGTACACATGGCGGTCCAACTCCTCCTTTGTGTTACAGACAAACCAACAGTCTCTCCAGTGACACAGGTGCCCATCACCCGACGGAGGTTCTGCAAGTAATTCACTCGTCTAATTTTCCCTAGATACTGTACTCATTTTCTCGCTGTTATATTGTTATCCCCCCCAAAAAGTAGTTAAAAACAAGAGCCACCAGAAAAGAAACATCCCATCAAACAAAAATGGCTCGGTCTAGATGTAACAATTCAGATTAATTAGGCAAGAAACTTGCCTATTACCCCAGTATTCCAAGGCAAAAGCATGTTATGAAATATTTCTGCAACATTAAATGAAACTAATCCATTGAAATTATGGAAAGTTATTACCATAGGTACATGGAAACCAAATCTCTCTCAGAGATAGAATCACTGCTAAATCCCTCTGAACTCTCAGTTGAGGGATCAAAGGGTATTATGTAATGTGCTCCTCAGAAACAAAACCTTCAAGGCATAAAACAATAATATACTGGGCACTGTAGTTCATACACATTACAGGCATTCCTCAATTTATGAAAGTGTTCAACTCTTGGAAAACATTTTGTAAATTTATTTTTCATAAATCAAAGCACCTGGGAAATGTTCCAAGGAAAAAAACTCCCAAACCATCTTAAAAAGCCACAAAAGATGCTTTTCCTGAAAGTATTTGGTGTACACAATGATCATAAGGCAATAATAAACATAATAAGTGAAATACAAGCGGTACAGTAGTAGTATAATTTTATACCTATATTGTGCAGTACTGTACAATAATTAAGAAAAAACAGATGAAATTGGAAATAAAGTGTTAACAGTAATATTAAATGCTAAGCCAAATATATAAAACAATTATAATACTGTTCCACAGCAACACACTGATTCCCATTATATATTTAGAGAAACATTCTCTTAAAAAACCATGCTTAACCCCTGGTGAGCCAACTTTGTTTACATGCCTTGAAGTATGACTGCTGCTTCAAGGAATCTTGGTTCCTGCTTGAAGTGCTCTGTACTCTTTCTTTTATAATGACTAATTTTTCTTTCACACCGTCCTCAAATAAAAAGCAAAAGTGATAGAAACTAAGTTTAACAGTGCTAAAAGAAAATGTCATGTGCTGACTGCCTCCACTCACCTCTCATGTGTTGTTGGTAATCTCCACACCCATCAATTTTCACCTTTTCCAAATTCCACGCTTTCTCTTACCACATCCATACAAAATATAAAAATAAAACAACCCTCAGGTCCAATGGAAACCAGAATGAGCAAGTACGTACAGACACACATGTACGTATTTGTTGGGTTGGTGCCTCAATGTAGGTCTAATACCCTTTATTGTGTAATGTTCTGTGATTTAGTTTATTAAAATAATACTAAGCCTAATACTGTATTTGCATTAAAACCAATGGTCAAATACTCTGCAGTACTCTATTGGTGAATGACTAGATGTTATTTGTGGCATACAGTAGGAAAGGATAATTGAAGACCTGAACAGAAGAGTTGCCATATCCCAAATTATATATATTTATGGGAGAACAGCAACGTGTAACAAAAGGGCTGACTGAAATAATTAGAGATTACTGTACTATACTGTATGGTACTCCCCCTCTACCCATTAATCATGTCAATTTAATTCAAAACCTTATCCTTATGAAATCCAGGCATATTCTCCTTTAGTTAGACGATCTTGAAGAATGAATGATGGCCTCAGTTCATGGGATTTGATTCTTTTATTATACAACTGAAACCTAAGTGGTATATAGTGTTGTGGCCAATTCATTCTCCAACAATCATCCAAACAAAATGGAAGGCATATGCAGAGATGAAACATCCAAGGAAACGTGAGGTGCCATCAACACTCTCCACAACAACATTACAAGCAACAGTGAGGTGGTACAGCAGTCTGGTGTGCACAAATTCACTGTAGCAAGGCAAATTTCCCACTATGAAGCAGCTGACAACACTATGGACTTTTCCCGGTTATAGCACCCTTGCTGCATAACAGGGGAACAAAATAATGAATGTCATTGCAGCTGCTATTAAGGAAAATCCCTTCGTATCTCTAACATAAGGACGTATCTGGTTAAGAGAGCAGGCATATGAACACACTGCCACACCCAGCATACAGTCTTTGGTTATTCATATTCAGTGTTCATGTATTCACTGTAATGTACTCAATACATATTTTTTGAGTATTTACCTGCATTCAGTATTCAAGGCATTTTATGAATACTGTAAAGTGATATCCTCATTAGCCTGAATAATTAATAGTGGTTCCTGGAATGAGAGATTTCTGGGTATGGAAATGAATTTCTCATCCCTGGAATGTTTCCAGGTACTGTACTGGGAAATTGTTTTCTAAGAGTCTAAATTATGCATCTCGCACGAAAAAACACTCTCCCATTACATTTAAGCTGATGTCATGAGTGAAAATATTTACAGCTAGCATAATAGTGTATGAGCTTTTATCCACAGTACAGTATCTGTTATAATTGTGCTCAGAAGATGAATTGGTACCATAATAATCCTGAACAATTTTCTACAAGACTGTTTCAATAAAATATCCTTAAACAAAATACAGTAGGGTCGGGATATATCGCTACTTTATACAACGATTTTTTATATCAAGGCTACCTAAATTATCGAAATTTTCCTATATACAGTATAGCGATAATTTTTTTAATTCGTGGGGGAAATCGGGCAGGAAATATTTCAAATGTACCGCCACGGCAAACAAATGCGTTATTTGCTCACCAGTGGCACCACCGTGACTGCTCACTCACGCATTCACGCTTGTTTGGGGAGTTGAAGTACTTGATAGGTTTACAATATGTGAATCATCCGAGTCTGAGTATACTATAGCTTGAGTTAGACTGTGTCCCATGACTTCCACTTCCAGATGCTATGGCTACCCCAATTTATCTGAACTCAGGTATATCTCCTTTATATCATCTGTACACTTCAAACAATTTTCAATATGTTTCACCTTTCTTGTTCCAATCTTGCTCAGAACAGTACTACAGTACTACAAAATATACATTTCACCCAAGATGTCATAAAACTTTCACCCTCTACGTCTTTAAAAAGAGCCATAACTGCCATTTTCTTTCTCCCTGGCATTTCCTACACTCAGTTCATATTTCATTCCACAGAGACAGCTGTACTCAGTCACTCAATGGGCTGCTCAAATAGTGGCAGCCCAGCAGCTTGTTAGAACCTGTTTAAACGTGTACAATACCGGTCCATTACCGGTACCACAGTCCAACTCTCCAATATACACAGTAACATTATTTACAACAGTAATTCTTTACACAGTTTTACATTCTTCTCTGTATTATCCTTTAATACCTGTAATTAGATCTTAGATTAGGGAAAAGAAATATGTATATATTGATTGTATTTCATTATTATTAATGAAATACAACCGACATCTACACGTTTCTTGGAAAGTAAAATAAAACTTAGTTGCATCATGTAAGTACAAATAGTTCAAATGTGTTTTTGCTCCACTTTGTTTTTTGCAAAAAAAATAAAATAAAATAAAATTATTATTCAAAAAAGAATATTTTTTTTGCTTTGCATCACTAATCACCAATCAGGAGAATGTCCATCCCCAAAATACGTTTGACACCATTCACTCCTGTCACTCACACATTCTTTGTTTGAACAGTGAACAAGAGTGACAGACCACCAAGTGGTACTCTTCATCCTCCCCAAATATTGTGCATTCATTTTCTTGTCCCCACTGCTACTTGGCACATCAACCTTCTTGTATCATTTTCTCCACGTACAATACTCGTCTAACCCCACAAATATAAGCTAAAATACATACTTTTCCCCTCTTGCAAGCTATTTCCAACATCATTGCAGATGGGACAAAATCAAGAGCAACCTGGATTTCTTTATTCACTGTTGTTAATTCTTTTTAGATGCCTTACTAGATATGCTTTGCAATGGTGTTAATTCTCTAATTTAACCCAATGGTTGCAAAAAGCCAGTAGCAGGGTGTCTACTGGCCAGACAAAACAAAATTCCCTGGTTTTTCCTGGTTTTTCAGGTGGAAATTTGAGAAATTCCAGGTACATTAATTCGGTATTTAATATGAGAGAATAACAAAATTAAATATTTTCAATAATATGTATATATTATTGGGAAATTTAAAGATGATAATTATGATATTAACCAAGTAACTGAAGGCCCTTTCGGGACTGCTTCGGTAAACTGTCCACCCAGCGCTAAATTTAAACAGCCAATTCTTTGTCAGGTCTCAATATTGCAGATCACCGACTATTTTATTAAACCAGCTATGATCAAGATGATCATTAGGCCTAGTGATGAACATCGGCAAAGACCTTGAACCCCCTCCATATTTTTCTCCTCGGATTTGCGCAACTCACATGGGTTGACCTGGACATTTAAAAAAAGTCAGAAATATGGCAAAAACTGAAAAACTACATTCTTGATCCACCTATATGACTCATGATAAATATGTGGAATAATCCACTTCATCTTTGACAATAATCACTGCAGAATTAGTAGGTATAACCTGTAATATTTGGTTATTTGATCGTTAACATGAAATATGACAGGTACACAAACAATTCAGTTATTGGAGTGGAACTATTTACTGGAATTTGTTACTAAAAGTTTAATTATTTACCTATTATATAGTACATCTTTAATTTATGGTAAGATTGCTGTCAAAATAACAGTATTTTGAAGCTGAACTGAAGTCACATAAAATCCCATGATTTTTTTATAAAATTCCCGGGCTTTTCCCAAGTTTTCTAGTCCCAAATAAAAGTCCCGCCTTTTCAAGGTTTTCCAGACCAGTAGAAACCCTGAATAGAATGATCTGCAGCTGAAGCTGCAAAAGGCCAGCAAGCCACCAAAATTTTGGCAACAATTTTTTAGCTGACAGTGTACCACAGGCTTCTAGGTACCCTTACACCATCCCCAGATTCCTAGCCATGCCTCAGTATACACACAGTCATCATGGAGGAAGTAAGACCCAGAACAATCCACTTCACACGGTACAGGAGTTCTTCACCACAATTTAACCAAGCTAAGTAAATTATTTATATATTCTTTGGTTACCATTAGTCTGCATGCATATTATTATTTTTGCAGGATGAAAATGTTTTGCAAGTGCTCATTTTTTTTTAAATTGTGTGTACAGCAAATTTATCACAAGCTGCAACAAAAGGGTTAATGGCTACAGTAATAATGAACACATCACAACACCTGGAACAAATAAATATGAACCCACCTGTTACAGCAAGATGGTCAGCAATATGGAATATGAATCGTTCCATCTTCTTATAAACAGCTGTACACATGTTCCACTCACAGTTGAGGGACATCTGCTTCAACCTCATTGCACCGGAGATCTTCTTAATTTTGGTGCTGGATTTCTTCTTTTCCTCACTGGATTCACTAGTCTGTGTGAGTGTAAAAAATAAAGCTCAAATGCACAGTAAAACCTATTTCATAACCTATTTCATAACATCCACTGTAGGCTAACACTCTTATCAACCAACAAACAAAAAATAAAAAAAGGTCAATAATAACGATCTCAATGGATATTACCCTTTAATGGCTTACCTTGGGTTATCCTTGGTAAAATGACTTACTACAGTAATGCTGTTGATTGTACACCAAGCATGTTTATATACTGTACCTACATCCTGAACCACTGTGAACTTGTAGTACAATACAGTACATGTACCCGAATGCGATAACCGAGCATGCAAGGCCCACACAAAATGAGACCCCACTATAAAGGTATATGTATGTCTTGAGGTAGCGAGCTGTAACTGTGGCCAGCCACACTCTCCCTCCCCAATATGACATCACAGTATACAGGCAGCAGCCACACGTGTCTCTTGAGTCAGCTTAGTGACTGTCTGGCTGAACTGTGTCATGCGTACACTACTAGTAAATAAAAATAATAATAATAAAAAATATTGCATTGTCATTTGGCAATTGTTTCACAGGACATGGGACAGAGTACAATTGAGAGATCCCTCATGCCGCTCCCTCCCCTTCTCCCGCTGTGTGTGCTAACTCCTGTGCATGAAACAAATGTTTACAGTATTCTCTTTATGTTTTGGAACTTATGATAATTATTTTTTTTGCAAATTTTGTATGAACGATTGTGTGTGCATGTAACAAATTAAAAAATTAAAAAAAGAAGAAAATTAGCCACATACTGTACAGGGTATATCTACACATTGAGATCACTTTGACAAATAAGAATCATGCAGTGAGAGTGCATTATCATGGACACCAAACAACCAAAGAGCCTGAAGCAACAGATGATGATCCACCGTGTCAAAGGCTGCAGAGAGATCCAGCAAGACCAGGAGGGAGGACTTTCCTGTGCAAGTGTTTATTACCAAATCATGATGAATTTTACATAAGGCAGTTTCAGTTGAACGATGCTTCCTATATGCTGACTGGACCAGAGATTACTCCATTTCTCTCAAACAGAGGAAGTAACTGATCCAGCACAGCACACTTTATGATTTTTTATATGAATGAGACTAGAGAACAGACAACAGACTGACATATTTTCAGTATCAAGACCAGTTTTCCTAAAAAGTGGACATTATACTCAAGCAGCTATCTGCATACCCAAGAGATTAAATCTACAATGTACCACTTAGTATTTAACCAAGAGTCACAAAGGTGTTAAGTGTACTGTAATCCTATGACCATAAACAATGCCTGTAAATCACAGATTTTCAACAGGAAATGTTGAAGGTCATCTACTCCCCTCTTTCCCTTTCTCCATTCTCTTCCTCACCTTCTCGAGTCAATGTACCCCTCTTCCTCCACTCACCCTTTCATCAGTTTGAGATTCCGATCTATTGTCATTGACAACTTGCTCTTGGGTCTTATCCACGATAAAGACAGTGTGGATACCATTTAATTCCAATGCTGACTGTAAGGGATCCTTCCTGGTAACATCTTCCATCCCGCCCCATTCTACGTCATCCATTTCACTTAACTTTCTTTTGCGTGTCATTTTCTTTTCTGTTTAAAATAAAAGAAGTTCATTGTAGCACATAAGTAAATATTAGATTATACAACAAATAACAGAACAGTACTACACTGTATAATATGTATTCCCAAATAATTTATATATTGTATAGGTTTACACTAGTGTGAAAAAGTGAAAGTGAGTCTCAGGCCTCAGAGACCATTAGGAATACTGTACAAAAAGTTTTAAAAATTACAGTTAATATACAAGAAAAACAAAACACTATTCTAAAATTTACCTGCCACAAGACTTTTCAAAGTAACATATCATTACAGTAGACCCTTGCCATTCGCAGGGGTTAGGTTCCAAGAAATAGCAACCTTAGTGCACTACTATACCTACATCAAACAATTGACCAGCTGCAGCGGCACTCATCCCCTCTTTTAACTTATATAACAATAAAACTTTCTTTGTCAGGGTCATCACTGACTTCTGTCTTTTACATTTCACCCACTAGCATCACTAGCACTGACACTAGGCAGTCTTTTAGGGACCATTTCACACAGAAACACTAAAGTTTTGAGAGTACAACACGAGATGCTGCGTGGGGTGACACGTTGTGCTGTGGGAAAAAGCTTGCAAGCTAGCCACCATAGCCACCATCTGCTTACTGCGAATCATCGAAATCATGAATGGCAAGGTTCTACTGTAATTTTTTTAACTTTTTGCATTTTCTAGGTAAACAGGGAAAACACAGACACCTTGACTGGGTTTCTTTTATTACCAAACTGAGAATACAAAAATTGCCATAAACCTTGTTATTCATGATTTATTTGTTTGTTTTGCTCTACCTCCCTATATAAGAATCAATGTAAAGTGCCATGAATGATCACTGGAATATTTACCCAGCAAAATAATAATAAAATTCCCTAAACCAAAGTTTATTTCTGCATGATTGAACGACCAAATAAAGTACTGTAGAGCCAAAATTTAAACAGCAATATACAGTAGTGGCCGTGGTACATTCTTGCTAAAGTCAGACATAGCACAGCATTGATTTGTGTTTATTAACATATACACCACAGCAAACTTACAGTTTCTTAAGTTTAAAGTCATAGCTATAGGAAACTGTATCTCCGGTAAATCGGTAATACAGTACAGTGGTCCCTCAGTTAACTAATACAATTCGTTCCAGAAGGTTGTTCGTTAACCGAAAATTTCATTAATCGAATCCATTGTTTCAATGGGATATTGGGTAATTGGTTCCAGCTCATCAAAAAGTACATACAAAATAAAAATAAAAATGCAATAAAGTACACTTACTTTGAGGTGTGTATGTAGAAGGCTTCAGGTTGATGATGATGATGGGAATTAGAAGTGAGGGTGGAGGAGAAGGGAGAAGAGAAGGAAGTGGGGATGGAGGAGAAATCACCTTTCAGGGGACCCATGCTTGATGCCGTCATTTCACCAATAAAATTTTAAGTTCACTAGGAGTAATTCAAGATTATTTTCTTTAAATCAACACTGCACTGCATTATATATTATCAATATGTTAAATAAATTTCAGAATGACCAATAATTGTACTGTAAAAATGTAAAAATACTCTGTGTTCAAGAGAACCACAAGCAAGATGTTTCCTCCACTGAACAGAGACACAAACAGACGCCTTAGTAGGTGAGTGAAGTGGCTGATGGGCGCACCAAAAACTAGTTCCCTGTACTGCAATTATGTTAAATAAGTGTTAAAATGACTAATACTTTTAATATAAAACTTGGAAAAATATTGAATAGCACAACCTTCTTGATATTTACTCCAATGGGAAAGAATGTAAGCCCTAGAACCGATTACTGTATTGATGGACTAACTTACCAGCCGATGAGCAAGCCAAAACATGTTGACACGTTTTCGTAAGAATTTCGTTAATCGAATTTTTGTTCGTTAACCGAATTGAAGATTCTTATGGAAAGTAATTCGTTTACCAAAATTTCGTTAACCGAGGCGTTCGTTAACTGAGGGACCACTGTACAGTACTGAAGCAGATGGCTAACACCAGGAGTTGTTCAATTTTGTTCATTTTTTCCACAGATATTCTTTGGATGATAGTCATTTTTAATTTTTTTTTAGTTCTTCTCTGTGTATGATCATAAATCCTGTAGTGGACTAGGTATGAAGGATGAGGAATATTGCAGGTTAAAAAACGGATGAAAAACTGTTCACATGACACGATAATGATGTCTCTACTTGCTTTGTACGTGAAGAAATTAATTATGTACATACTTATCACAAATATTCCACCAAAAAATACACCACGTAGGTGCGTGTTGTCATCTGCTTTTTGTTTGATCTGCTCAGTCTAAGCATATTCTCATGTCCACAAAAAAACATAAAATTACACCATGCCACTTCAAGAGAGTTGTTTTTCTTGGTACAAGATATCAAAGTAAATACATATTTTCATTAGCCTGCATCCCTCTTGACTGAAACTCTCCGATTGCAGGAATTGAAATTTTCTTGGAAAATTTTTCCCAAAGTTGGAATTCTTTGGAGAATTCCAGGTTTGGGACAGATTTTCCAAGGGGCACATTTTTTGGAAAATTCCAAGAAAATTTTCCAAGTACACAGAAAATTCCGGGGATGGGGGAGTTTTTCCGGCTTTGAGAAATGAAATAATGCATCATTCTGGATAATTCCAAGAAAATTCCACTACTTGGAAAAATTCTAGGGATCGCTTTTTTTCTTTACGGTGTTTGAGATAGGATGTACTGTAATGCGCAATTTCCGTAACTTCCGAGAAATTTTTCCCGGTACCCTGAATACTCCGGAAATGATAAATTTTTTTCTGGGTTTGAGAATTCTTTCGTTACCCAGAAATCTCTCATTCCCGGAAGTGCTCTGCACCAATTGTTCCAGCTAATGGAGATATTACTGTACTGTATTTTCTGTATATTATGGCGGGGAGTCTACCCCCTCAGCGAGGAAGTTAGGTAAGGTTAAGTACGTTTCTTTGGTTGGTTAGGTCAGATTCATATTAGGTTCTGCGCATTGTCATATCATTTTTGTTATTTACTAAATTACTATCATCCAAAGAATATCTACGGAAAAAAGGAACATTATTGAATGCATTCTTAAGTTAACCATTTGCTTCAGGATTACTGTATCTTCAAATGAACTCAACCCAATGAGACGAGTACAGTATTATATATTATTTCACTGTCATATGCGAGTAAGTAGACTCAAAGAAGATATAAGTTTTATCATGACATGCATTGGGAACTAAGAAGCTAACAACTTAGGAAATTACAAAGTCTAGGACCTGTAGGTTCTAGCCTCCATACCTTTGTCAAATTAAACTTCATCACTGAACTACATCTGATTTTTGCAGGAACGAGCTACTGTGGTATACACTCAAGTCTGGCAGCACGTACTCAGTGGTCCATTCCTGTTGCAATCAAACTACCTGTACTGTACTTGTGATGGTCGTTGTCTGTTCCTGGGATGCATGAAAACTACAGTACATATTTATGATTTCCTTAAGTGTTTCATTGGTCTTTTTTTTTTTACCCATTCACATATCTCTGTGCATTAAAGCAAACATTTTAATTTAAATTATGACAATAAAAGACCAGTATTATGGTCATTAATCTAAACGGCACTTCTACCCCACTTTTATATTTATTTATTTCTTAGGTGGTAGATATTTTGCCGTGATTGGTTAAGTTCCTACTAATGCTATTTTACCACGAGTGCGCTCTCATTGGCTAATCGTCCATTACTGGCAAACATGAGAACTATAGTTGACCATTACGCTTGAAGCATTTGGCATTTATTTCTCATTGATTCAATCGTTGTGTAGCTATAAACATACCTAAACATATTTCTGTTGTGCGTGGAAACTACTAACAAAAATAGAAGTAATGATTTGTTTTACGTCAAACATGGAATTTCATATTTCTATTTATATAGAGAGAATGCAAAAAAAAATCTATGGTAAATATTGACGACTGACCCAAGGACGCGTTATTTGTTTTGATGTTTATTTTCTTACTACATTTTCATCAGTAAGTTCTGATAAGATAATCATTTCTTATGCAAATACTTCATTTGGGAGATAATTAGGCACATAGGTGGGCACTAGTTTGTCTTCTTGGTGGTAACGTCTCATCCCAGGATGTAAACAGCCAATCATATTGACGTATCAACTCCGATGCCCAGTTTATTAGCTTTTGGTATGGGCGGCTGCTCTCACGTCCACAAAAATCGTAGAATTACACCATATCATAGTAAGTTTTCGTTCTGTTTAATATACCGAGGTGTCCAAGGGTCGGAGCCGCCAGCTAGGAAGTTAGGTAAGGTTAGGTAGGTTTGTTTGGTTAGGTTGGTGAGGTCATCTAACAACGATTCTGCTGCTTCTTTTTCTTATCAACTAAGGTTAGGTTAGGTTTAATTTAGAAATAACCACTTTTGCACAAATTACTAGTGTCCAATGTAAAACACAGCATTTTAATAATCGTTTTCTATTAAAAATTGGCAGAGGTCTGTTGTTAATACAGTATACTATTACATTTCCAACACAAATTTATATTTTTCGATTATTTTAACCCATAAGAACTACCCAATTACCAACAATATCGGTTGTTTAAAGTGGGCAGTAGAGGGAAAATGTGGAGTAAAATACTAAAGAACTCCAAAAAAAAGACTTTGAAAACCTTACCTGACATGTATATTTTTTTTAAATGTGGTAATGTCAGAGAACACCACTACCACCAGAAGTAGTTAGATTTTGTTCAATTTTTCAACAGATGTTCTTATCATTATAAAAGAAGCAACATTCACGAGAACCTAATAGAACATGACCTAACCAACCAAAGAAACCTACCTAATCTAACCTAACTTCACGGTAAAATAGCGATAATAGGAACTTACCAACTTGCTTTATAGATACCCACCACTGCCTTACCATATCACTGTTGTCATTAATATTGCTCACCCAAAGTCAATTAAAATCCTAAAATCTAAATCTAGAGGAGATTCTAGGTTCAACATCAGGGATTGGGGGCAAGATTCAGTTCTCTTAACCTTCTCAATCCCCAAAGACTACCCAAAAAAACAACCCCAAGTTCTTAATTGCGTTGTCTTCAATCATTAGCTCATCCACTAAAATACGTTACCTGCTTCTCACTGTCACATGCTCTTTAGAACATTATTCACCATGTAATTATTCGGTTATAGGAGAGGATAAGTCACAGAATATTTAAATACTCGCATGTGTTGGGTCATAGCAATAAGAGAAGCTTTAAGACGTCCCCAGCTGATTGCCTCTTGTGTACCAGTAGTCTTCACTGGACTTCATTTTGATAATATATACATTAACCAACTATTATAACGTTAAACCAGAACCAAATGAACAAACTAATTCACAATTCCAATATGACATACCAGCCCACATTTCAGTGTTCCGTGAAAACATTAATATTTAAAAGCTGTTGGCACAAAAAAAAAAGAAGTACTAAGAATAGCAAAAAAATACGAGAAATATTTAAGATGTACAGAAAAACTATATATTTTTTTAATATAATTAAGGATGAGGGAATAATAAAAATATTAATGGGTAAAGGCAGAGAGATTAAAAAAAAAAACCTTATGGAGTCAGCCAACCAGTCTCAGGCACAATGATATCGTATTAACACAGGAATTGTCAAAAGTTCCGGCTTAAAAGAACATAAGAATGGAGGAAACTGCAGCGGACCCTATGTTTGAAACTATCCAGCGTATTCGAGTTAATGATGTTTGGTAACTTGTTTCACTCGTCCACTACTCTATTTCCAAACCAGTGTTTACCTATTTCACGCCTAGATCAAAATTTGTCTAATTTAAAACCATCGTTACTAGTTCGTTCCTGGTTGGATAGTTTGAATACCCTTGTAATGTCCCCTTTGTTCAGCCCTGACTTCCATTTATACCCCTCTATTATATCGCCCCTCACTACGTCTCTCGACGGAGTGCAAATTAAGATACTTTAACCTGTCTCTGTACTCAAGGTTCCTAATGCCCGGGATTAGTTTTGTCATTCTCCTCTGAATTCTTTCCAAGGATTCTATATTCATTCTGTAATGCGGTGACCAAAATTGAACTGCGTAATCCAAGTGAGGTCTCACAAGCTCAAGATATAGTTTTAGGATGACCTCGCTAGTCTTGTAACTGACACTCCTTTATGAACCCAAGTACTTTATTAGCCTTGTTTCGAGCAAATACACATTGTTTACTTGACTTAAGATTCCTACTTATCATTACTCCTAAATCTTTCTCGCAGTCTGATTTCTCAGTTATATCGTTGTTCATCTGATATCTGGTTCCCTGTTTACATCTCCTATACTGAGTAATTTACATTTGTCCATTTTTCAGAAGTAACCGATGTGGGAACGTTAAAGAACAAACAGTTCATATGTAAACTAGGAATACCATATAATGCTATACATATTGTGAACATGGATTGTGGAAAAAGAAAATTTCTAATTTTCTATGGGGGCGCAAGTGCACCCCCTCTCGGACGCCCATACGTGTGTTTAAAAGTCTTACAAATAGCCTAACATTCTACCTCCATTTAGTCCTATTATGTTACAAATATAATTAAGGCGTATACATAAATTATGTATGCTGTATAGCCCAAACGGCTAGTAAGCAAATAAGTGACGAATATGATAAAAAAAAGTGCTGTCCTGAATTAACTACACGATAATTATTCTATAAATAGTTAATTATTATTATTATAATTATTATTATTATTATTATTATTGCCACCAACCGAATCTCGAGAATTTTACCTTTACAATCAATAATTCAGACATTTCTAAGACACTTTTGTCTGTTTTTTTTTTTATAGTTTAACAAATTTATTGGCAAAGCTTGTAGTACAGTTTGCCTATTCTGAGTAATTCAGTCAGGTCTTGACACTGAGGGTGGTATCACTTCTCACTGCCACGCAGGACAGAGGTTCATACACAAAGAAATACATCATATTCATAAACAGCTATAAATGTATAGAGGTCAGATTCATGTGGGTAATGTCACTGTTCACTGCCATGCAGAACAGAGGTTCGTACACAAAGAGATGCATCATATTCATTGACAGTACATATACATATATATATACACTCACACACATATATATATATATATATATATATATATATACTTCATTTTTAGTCCATATAACACGCGGACTTTGAACATATAATCAACGACCTCACCAGCATGGAATCGAACCCTCGACCTACTGGGTGGAACTAGGGAACGCTTACCGGCTAGGCCACAAGGAGACTAAAAGCAGTTCTAGACTCTGTTATATTTCACACAAAGCCTGTTCATCGAGCTGATGGCGCCGTGAACCTCATTGGGAAACTGCCCGTGCCTCTTATGTGGTGTCAGTAGCATTTTACCGAATCCAGCTGGTATGAAACGCGAGGTACATATATACAGTATACTTCATTTTTAGTCCATATAACACGCGGACTTTGAACATATAATCAACGACCTCACCAGCAAGGAATCGAACCCTCGACCTACTGGGCAATGAGGTTCACGGCGCCATCAGCTCGATGAACAGCCTTTGTGTGAAATATAACAGAGTCTAGAACTGCTTTTAGTGTCCTTGTGGCCTAGCCGGTAAGCGTTCCCTAGTCACACCCAGTGGGTCGAGGGTTCGATTCCTTGCTGGTGAGGTCGTTGATTATATATATATATATATATATATATATATATATATATATATATATATATATATATATATATATATATATATATATATATATATATATATATATATATATATATACACATACACACACATACATACATTAATCCGTCTACGATAGGAAGGCCTAAGACCAAACCTCACTCATATAACACCATCTGTGAGGGAATTACTACACCACATGTCCCTCATAACACCATATGTGAGGGAATTACTACATCACGTCAAGTCCCTCATAACACCATCTGTGAGGGAATTACTACACCACGTGAGGTCCCTCATAACACCATCTGTGAGGGAATTACTACACCACGTGAGGTCCCTCATAACACCATCAGTGAGGGATTACTACACCACGTGAGGTCCCTCCTAACGCCATCTAGGAGGGAATTACTACACCACGTGAGGCCCCTCATAACACCATCTGTGAGGTAATTACTACACCACGTGAGGTCCCTCATAACACCATCTGTGAGGTAATTATTACACCACGTGAGGTCCCTCATAACACCATCTGTGAGGGAATTACTACACCACGTGAGGCCCCTCAAGACACCATCTGCGAGGGAATTACTACACCACGCCAGGTCCCTCATAACACCATCTGAGGGAACTACTACACCACGTGAGTTCCTCCTAACACCATCCGGGAGGGAGTTACTACACTACGAGTTTGCTGTTCAACACCTACATTAATCTGTATGTTCACTGTATGTTCCTTTACCTTTCTCTAATGAAAGCTTTTGTTAAACCACCAATGTATGTAATAAGTCATTTATGTCCAATGTATATTTTCAGCCTTCGGGCTGCAGAATTTTTTTCAATAAACCGTTAATTATTATTATTATTGTGGTTATTATTATACAGGTCAGATTCATGTGGGCATGTCACTCTTCACTGCCATATGGTGACAGAGTTCCTAGCCACAAAGTTATTTTAATTATATTCATTGGACACTATATATAGAACATAAGAACATATAGTAACAAGGAGTTCGCAATAGGCCGGTTGGCCTGTGCATGGTGAAGCTCCCTGTCGAGAGTTACTACCACTCTATCATCCATGAATCTTATCTAGCCTCCTTTTGAACTTCCAGAGTTCCCTGCACTTACTACAAAGCTGTTGTTGTTCCACTGTCCACCACCCTATTTGTTAACCAGTTTCTTCCTATCTCCTTCCTAAACCTAAACTTATCTAACTTGAATCCGTTGCTCCGAGTCCTATCCTGCTCGGATATTATAAGAACTTTATCTATATCCCCTTTATTGATTCCTTTCACCCACTTAAATACTTCTATCATATCTCCCCGCACTCTTCGTCTTTCTAGGGAATGCAAGTTAAGTTTCTTTAACCTATCCTGATATGGAAGGTTTCTAAGTCCCGGAATCATTTTTGTCATTCTTCGCTGCACCGACTCTAGTGAATTTATATCCATTCTATAATAGGGGCACCAGATTCTTGTGGGTAATGCCACTGTTCACTGCCATGCAGGACAGAAGTTCGTACACAAAGAAGGAAATACATCATATTCATTAGCAGTATATATAGGTCAGTGGATCACATACATTGGAGTCATATTCTAATTGAAGACTAATCAGTGTGGGCTAGCAAATGTCCTTAAGCACCCCAGATTCAATGTAGTAATTACATAGTTCAAGATACAATAAGTCAGGTGGCCTGAAGTCTTTGACAGTGTCACATTCAATAATATGGTGTTCAAGTGTATGCTTTAGAGGTTTATCACAAAGTTTACATGCTGAGTGTTCCGGTATGTGTACAGTGTAGTGGATTTCTCCCCAACAAACGCTGTTTGTCGCTGAGTAGCCGACCCCACCAATTCCCCAGTGTATGCCTCGTGGTCTAGGTCAACCAGCGCCGCCATACATCACGGAGCGGGGGTCAACTACTAAGCCACGCCTACCCCCCGCTATTTAAGACCTGACCTCGTGGTGATCTCTCTCTTTCTACCTACACCAACCAGCCAGCAACACCTCCTCCTCCTCCGCCTGCCTGGCGGTCCTCGCTCCCGCCGGCGAGCATGGCGACCCACAAGCTGTCCTCCTCTGAGCATCCTCACCAACCAGCTCTCTCTACATCACGCTTGTAACCATGCTGCCTTCCCAGCACCAAGCTGCATTGTACATCCAAT